AATGTTCCATGAGGTGGAAGTTGATTCTGATGCACAAATCAATCAGATTGTTCAAACTGGACAGAGGCTCCATCCATGCAAAATCGTCCTTTATATCCTCATTAAGCCCAAGTGGAAATGGTGATGCTGTGCTGCCTCATTCCACTCAGTGTCAGAAGAAAAAATGATGAAATTCAACAGCATAGTTGGTATGGCCTGGCCTCCTTGCCATAAGGTGTGAAGGGCTGCCTTGGTGGTCTGCACATAGTTGGGATCACCGAAGATGATGGACATAGCTTGAATAAATTCCTCTAATTGTCACAAGAGGGAGATGGACTGTTTCAGGAAGCCAAGGCCTGAATCAACAAATTTAAGATGAGCCCACAGGGGCCTTATCCATGGGAAATGATTGATGATGGAGGAGAAACAGCAGCCGACATTGGTTCAGGAACCTCTGAAACGTGTCCCAATCTCTGTCAAATTTGGCAGCAGAGAGTCCCCCAGAACTTACACCAGCAGTTGAGGTGTATCTGTTAGGGTTGGTGGGCCAGACCTGCTGCATTCTTCTCTGGCCATATGCAGAGTCCTCTGGTGGGGTGGTGTTGGTGGAGCCTCCTCGAGCAGTGCATCTTAAGTTAGCATCTCATTAATCTGAACAGGGCAATTTCTCCCCTCAGATCTACTGTTTTAGGTTGTCTGCAGACATTGCTGCATCAGTTGTGTCATCCTGTGTTCATGTTTAGGAAGCAAAGCTTGAAAACAGGAGAGCTAAAACCTTTTTTTAAAATGTAATCTGAGATTCTGATGTAATCACATGACTCCTGGAGCTGGGTCCTAGGCACAGTCCTGTAGTCCTGCCACAACCTGACAGAATGATTGATACTTTGGGACTTCAGTCTACTTTTATCCAGCAGAAGGAAAAGATAATTTCTGACATCTTCAGAGCTGGGCACCCGGTCACCAGCCGCTGCTCTCTGGCCACCCAGCTCTGAAGGCAGCGCAGAAGTAAGGGTGGCAGTACTGCAGCCCCCCTAAAATAACTATGCAACCCCCTTGCAACTCCCTTTTGGGTCAAAACCCTCAATTTGAGAAACATTGGTCTCCCCTGTGAAATCTGTATAGTATAGAGTAAAAGCACACAAAAGACCAGATTTCACGGTGGGAGACCAGATATCACGGTCCGTGACACATTTTTCATGACATGAATTTGGTAGGGCCATACCTATACTAAGTGCCCCAGAGAGGGATCCTTTTTTCTACATTAACCATCCTTTGTTTCTCAGCAACTGCTGTGGCCACTAGCTGAGAAATCAAGGTCTCAGAGATTTTCTCCTCTTCTGCTCCAGAAGACTGGATATCAGAGGCAAATAGGTACAGGAAAATAACTGCTTTTGGTTGCATTTAATCTGGAAGGGGTTAATACATTACAGTGAGTATTCTGACATACCTATTTTGCTTCAGTCTTCACTAAAAAAGTTAATTATGATCAGGTGCTTAACACAATTAATACTAACACGACAGAAAGAACAGGTTAATGAAAATTTACATAAGTTAGATGTATTCAAGTTGGCAGGGGTTGACAAAATTCACCCTAGGGTATTTAAGGAACTAGGTAAAGCAATCTCTGAACCATTAGTAATTATCTATGAGAACTTGGAGCACGGGTGAGATCCTAGTGGACTGAAGAAGGGCAAACATAATACCTATCTTTCAAAGGGTAACAAAGAGGATCAGGGGAATTATAAACCAGTCAGTCTAACTTCAATACTTGGAAAAATACTGGACCAAATTATTCAACAATTAGTTTGCAAGCATTTAGAGCAGTGGGGGCAACCTGCAGCCCATCAAGGTAAGCTGATTGTGGGCCGCGAGACATTTTGCGGCAAGAATGGCCCCCCGCAGCTCCCAGTGGCCACGGTTTGCCGTTCCCAGCCAATGGGAGCTGTGGGAAGTGGCGGCCAACACATCCCTGCGGCCCGCGGGGTCTGTCCTGGGTCTAGTAATATTCAATTTTCATTCATGACTTGGATAAAGAAGTAGAGAGTATGCTTATAAGATTTGTGAATGATTCCAGGCTGGTGAGGTTGCAAGCACTTTGGAGGACAGGATTAGAATTCAAAATGACCTTGACAAATTGGAGAATTGATCTAAAATCAACAAGATGCAATTCAGAAAAGACAAGTGCAAAGTACTTCATTTACAAAGGAAAAATCAAATGCACAAATACAAAATGGGGAATAAGGGGCTAGGCAGTGGTACTGCTGAAAAGGATCTGGAGGTGGTTGTGGAACACAAATTGAATATGAGCCAACAATGTGATGCAGTTGTGAAACAGACTTATATAATTGTGGGGTATATTAACAGGATTGTTGTATGTAAGACATGGTAAGTAATTGTCCCACTCTGCTCAGCACTGGTGAAGCCTCAGCTGGAATACTGTGTCCAGTTTTGACACCACACTTTAGGAAAGATGTGGAGAAATTAGAGAGAGCCAAGAGGAGAGCAACAAAAATGATAACAGGTTTAGAAAACATGACGTATGAGGAAGGGTTAAAAAAACTGGGCATGTTTAGTCTTGAGAAAAGAAGATTAAGAGGGGGGATCTGATAACAGTCTTCAAATATATTAAGAACTGTTATAAAAAGGATGGTGAGCAATTGTTCTCTATGTCCATTGAAGGCAGGACAAGAAGTAACGGGCTTAATGTGCAGGAAGGGTGATTTAAGTTACATATTAGGAAAAAAATTCTAACTATAAGGATAGTTAAGTACTGGAATAGGCTTCCAAGGGTGATTTGTGGAATCCCAGTCATTGGAGGTTTTTAAGAACAGGTTAGACAAACATGTCAAAGATGGCCTAGGTATATTTGATCCTCCCTCAGCAGGGGGGTGGACTAGATGACCTCTCAAGGTCCTTCCAGCCCTACATTTCTGATTGTACCACACATTTCCCTGCTTGACTGGGCTACAGCTGCACAAAAACTTCCAGATCACTTATTTGTTTGTTTGGGTAAACTGCCTGCCCAAGTCCATCTCCTATTTTTGAACACAGTTTAAGTGACTGGTAAGAAATAGCTGAGGGCATATTATATTTCAGATGTTGCTGCATTACACAGTGGAAGGATTAGTACACTGCTTTCTATTTTAGTTGGGAGTCTGAGTATATCTTTCTTGTAAGCTGGAGTACAGGCAAAGTACTTTAGTTGGAAAATATTGCCAGACATATATTCTGTGACCTAGCAATGTTTGTGAGGGATACAGCTTTCAAAGTTACTCCTTTAGAATGCTTTCCTCAAGGATGCTTTCCTCAAGCTCAAACTGGTGAGTCTGACAATCAAATTTCTGGCAGCCTTTGTTTCCTTGACTAAGATCAGCATTACCCATAGGAGTAAAAGGGAAGATATATTCAGAGACATTGGCTTTTCCCCTCACTTTTTCCAGATTCTAATGACATGGCCTGCAAATAAATGTTGTACTAACTACGTTTGGTTAGATTTGATTAAGCATCTTGTAAATGTGGTATGTTTAGAAGATTACTCTCTCCATTTAGACCCAGCAGCCTTACATTGTATAATTATACTTAGTAGTGAATTGAACAGAGAAAGGAAGCCCACTAATACATTTTAAATTAGAAGTTCTCGCCATCTTATTTCTCTAAGACCACAAAGGATAGACAATTTATTCTAGGTTTCCCATTTTTCTTTCCACTTGATTTGATTAAAATTCTTGAGACAATCCTGGATTTAGTCACCAGATGGCACTGTAATGATATTCTCTTGTAATCCTCTCTGAATAGCTGAGGTTTCATTTGAAGTGACCCATAACATTGTCTACAATGAAAAATTATTGCAACTTTTTCAAAAGAGTTCTAACACTCCATTATTTGCAGTTTTACTTTGAACTTTGGCAGGGAGATAGTTCTGGGAAGGGCTCTTTATTGGCCTCATGCAAATCCATTCAGATTTTTCCAAGTTAAAGGTTTTGACAATTGCCACTGCCTGTCTTTGTCTGACACAGCACATGCTATTTTCGGAAATACACCAAAATCCCATAACATGCCATTAGCATGGCACATGCAGCTCCCTGGTACTTCAGCATTTTCCACTCAGAGCCGAACCTTCAGATGGGACAGACAAAAATGCATGATGATGGTCATTATCCTCTTCAACCTGCTGCAGCTTTTCCCTATCCCTATACATTTTGGTCTAGGTCCAGGAGAATATATAATGTACTAAGACCTAGCCCTAGGCAACCACAGATTCTAATCTAGACTCACCTGTTTTACTAACCGGTGTTGTTAATTCTGTGCCTTTCACAATCCTTATTACTGATCACAAAGTGACAGGTTATACAAATTGGGAATACAGCACAGATCTCTATCTAGTGCAGCAGAACCTTGTCTCAAAATTAAGAACAAATAAACTGCTTGTGTGAAAACATGCTTAAGTAGCAGTCATGCATCCCCTTTATTCCCTACCTCGCTTGTTTGTTTTGAATTTTGTTTATTTCAAGGGCCCGATCCTCCAAATATACACATGCAAATTAGGGGGGTACTGCTAGTAATGTTCTGCACGTGTGTTTGCAGGATTATGGTCTAAGCGAGTAAGCACTTTAGGGCAGTGACTACTATAATGAAACCTCAGACTTTTTCAGGCCTTTAGATATAGCGTAGCTTTACGACGAAGGACCCAAAACTGCTTCACTCTCTGTAGAGATCCACTAAACCACAGCCGTTTCGACAGAGGGTGGCTGCCAAGAAGGGTGCGGCAGGATTTAAAAGGGCAACCCCCTGCTCTTCTGAAAAGCGCCATGGGATGAACGTCCCAGCACAGCGAACGGGGCATTCCGGGACACAAGCAAACCTGCCCCCACCCCATTGGAGTACGCCACGGCGCGCGCGCTCCAGCCCACACAGTCCCCGACTAGTCCCAGCTTCCACGCGCTTGGCTCGTACGCTCCCCACGCCCCCTTCCTCCCGCCGGTGGGAGTCACTGCGCAGGCGCAACGGCTGGACAGCTGGAGGGAGGGGCTTTCCTTAGAGACGTTAACTCGTTGGGGTTGGCGCCGCCGCCATTTTGAATTCGCTCGCTGGTGGTCCGGTCGGTAGCTGCGGCGGCTAAGTGCGGCTCCGTGACCCCCTGAGAGCGCGAGAGAGACAGAGGGAAGACGAAGCATGGCAGCGAACAGCCGGAACTTGAAACAAGTGCGGATCGAAAACAGCTCCCCGGCGGCCCCGCTCGGCATGGTGGGGGGCGGCGGCCTGAAGGGGCTGCGGGGCCTGGAGGCGGACAACGAGGTAGGGGCCATGGCGCTGGCGCAGGTCAAAGAGGCTGGCGACGAGGAGCAGGAGGTCGGGTTCACCATCGACATCAAGAGCTTCCTCAAGCCCGGCGAAAAGAGCTACACGCAGCGCTGCCGTCTCTTCGTGGGGAACCTGCCCACCGACATCACCGAGGAGGACTTCAAGCGCCTCTTCGAGCGCTACGGGGAGCCCAGCGAGGTCTTCATCAACCGCGACCGCGGCTTCGGCTTCATCCGCCTGGTAAGGGCCTCTTTCCCCGTACGTGTCTGCGAGGGAGTCGGACAGGCCTCCCCGCTCCGGTACAGGCACCGTGTGGGGGTCAGTGGGACAGGTCTCGTCTCGGTGTTTGCATCCCGCACAGGCATTGTGTGTGGGGGGGAGACTGGGACGGACCTCGCCCCTACAGTCGCCTAAACTACACCCCCCTGACACGATGTGTGTGTGGGGGAGAGGGACAGTGCTTGTGTCGTGTCCGTCCCCCCTCTCCCCCGCCTCTGTGTGCCTGTTGGGGGCGGAGTGGGACAGATGTTTCTCTGCAGCCTCGTCTCCTTTCCCTTGTCGGTGTGATCAGTGCTAGTGTCACTGCCACCAACCTTATTGCTTCTCTTCTTCTGCTCCTCCGCCTGGTACAGTTCTTTCTTCCATACCTTGTCATAGTCCCGCTTCCATACACGGATTGCCACCTGCCTTATCGCCCCCATTTCTAGCCCCAGTAGTGCACACTGCTGCCTGTCCACCTGCATGTCCAGCTGCCTTCATGTCCCACCCACCAGTCCCACTTCTTCTACACCAGGGGTTGGCAACCTTTCAGAAGTGGTGTGCCGAGTCTTCATTTATTCACTCTAATTTCAGGTTTCGCGTGCCAGTAATACCTTTTGACGTTTTTAGAAGGTCTCTTTCTATAAGTCTATAATATATAACTAGACTATTGTTGTATGTAAAGTAAATAAGGTTTTAAAAATGTTTAAGAATCTTCATTTAAAATGAAATTAAAAATGCAGCACTCCCTGGACCGGTGGCCAGGACCCGGACAGTGTGAGTGCCACTGAAAATCGGCTCTTGTGCCACCTTCGACATGCGTGCCATAGGTTGCCTACCCATGTTCTACACAGATAACCTGATACTGACCTTCTAATTTTCAGTAATAGAAAATGGAAAATGCTTCTTTGAGTAAGAAAGCATGTTTAGTTGGGTTGAGATGGTTGGCCCATCCTCGCATTGCATTATTTCCAGAAATTTCTTTGTGTGACTAATTGGATTATTCCTGTTTATGATGTAGCATGAATTAACGTTTTATTATACTTTAAGGGGGAGACTCTGGATACTTCTCCCCTCCTTTTGTACTTTAGTTCTTTGAAAGCCAAATATGCACAGTCTGAGCCCGGTAGGATTATTTGCTGTAGGCTTTCATTCATGAAAGCATGAACATCAATTTCAGAGGTATACTGAGATATACGGAGTTATAGCATTTGCATTTTAGTGAAATATATTGTTGTTAGATACAATTGCTGTTTCCTTGAGATCCTTTTGAAAAGAAGGGCCTATATTTTCAAAAGTTGCGAGTACACCTCTATCCTGATATAACGCGGCCCGATATAACATGAATTCAGATATAACGCAGTAAAACTGCACTTGGGGGGGGGGGCTTGCGCACTCCGGCAGATCAAAGCAAGTTTGATATAATGCGGTTTCACCTGTAACGCGGTAAGATTTTTTTTTTGGCTCCCAAGGACAGTGTTATATCCGGGTAGAGGTGTACCAGTGTTTTTGCATGCCCCACTTAATGGTCTCCACTTTAAGAAACCTTAAAGGGGCCTGCCTGGTTTTTGGATGATATGTGCTCATCATTTCTGAGGATCTGGTTTCTGGTATCTCATGAAAAAATTGAGGCAGTCAAAACTAGGTTATTGGCCATAGGTTTTAACATGTTAGTCTGCTTGCTATGCTGAGATGCTTTTCATAGCCAAATCGGCTGTAAATAGAGAGTGCACAGGGTGGTGGACATAGAAAGGCAGAGTTAAGATTTTTTGGGGTACTTAAATTGTCAGTTTCCATAATTTACAGTATTTTAGATTTGTTTTAAATTGTAACTTTGCCATTGATTTTTCTAATGTCTAAACACTTGTATTTTTTAAAAATGTTGCTATACGTAGGCTTTTTTTCTTGACTATATAACGGGGAAAGAATACAGCCCCTTTGCTAGTAGTAGCTGAGAGGATTAAGAAATGGAGCATCTCATGTCACTCTTTTTTGCAGCCTTTTTGGCCAACTGAACAATTTTGCAGAGGTTGTGGAGAAAGCTGTATCCCACTTTCCTTGGTTTGAGGAATGATTCCTTTAGTACAATAACTTGGGGTATAGGTGAAAGAAGTTAAAGGAAAAACTCCAGGATAAGAATGGGAGGGCAACATCAGGGAAGACTGACACTTGGGTTAGATAGATGCAAAAGACACAAAAACAAGTGAAGAGTAATAAATACAACAGGCATAATGAAAATCCCTAGAGAAAACAAAACTCTTTGCTTCTAGGATGTAGCTTGTATTTTACTTTATTTCAGCTATCAGTTCAATCAAAAGTGATAGTGGATAAAAAGAATGGTAACAAAAAAAAATCCCTATAAATTTAAAAAATTCTGTCAGAGTGAATGAGGGAACACCCCCCCCCACCACCACCACAGATGCAGAAATAAAAATAATATATATATCCCTATGGAAAAAAAGTTGTGTGAAAGTTCTGAACTCTCTTTGGCTGTCATATAAAGAGTAGCATACTTTTCTGCAGTAGGAATGTGTTAGGGGAATCATCCTCTAACACATGCAAGCAAAACTCATGAATTTAAAGTATGACATCGGCGGAATTGTCACAGATTGAGGTGTCACTAGAGGAGATTTTGGAATTAATTAATAAACTTAACAGTAACAAGTGGTTTGAGCATTGTCCTGCTAAACCCAGGGTTGTGACTTCAATCCTTGAGGGGGCCACTTAGGGAACTGGGGTAAAAAGCTGTCTGGGGATTGGTCCTGCTTTGAGCAGGGCGTTGGACTAAATGACCTCCTGAGGCCGCTTCCAACCCTGATGTTTTATTCTAAGTCATCGGGACCAGATGGCATTCACCCAAGAGTTCTGAAAGAACTCAAATGTGAAGTTGCAGAACTATTAACTATGGTTTGTAACTTGTCTTTTAAATTGGCTTCTGTACCCAATGACTGGAAGATAGTTAATGTAACGCCAATACACCTCTACCCCAATATAACTCGACCCAATATAACACGAATTTGGATATAACGCGGTAAAGCAGCGCTCCGGGGGGTGGGGCTGCGTGCTTCAGCGGATCAAAGCAAGTTCGATATAACACGGTTTCACCTATAACGCAGTAAGCTTTTTTGGCTCCCAAGGACAGCGTTATATCGGGGTAGAGGTGTATTTAAAAAAGGCTGTAGAGGTGATCCCAGCAATTGCAGACCGGTAAGTCTCACATTAGTACCGGGCAAATTAGTTGAAACAATAGTAAAGAATAAAATTGTCAGACACATAGAAGAACATAAATTGTTGGGCAAAAGTCAACATGGTTTCTGTAAAGGGAAATCGTGTCTTACTAATCTATTAGAGTTCTTTGAAGGGGTCAACAAACATGTGGACAAGGGGGATAGTTAATTTCCAGAAAGCCTTTGACAAGGTCCCTCACCAAAGGCTCTTAGGTAAATTAAGTTGTTATGGGATAAGAGGGAAGGGTTCTTTCATGGATTGAGAACCGGTTAAAAGACAGGAAACAAAGGGTAGGAATAAATGGTAAATTCTCAGAATGGAGAGGGGTAACAAGTGGTGTCCCCGAAGGGTCAGTCCTAGGACCAGTCCTATTCAACTTATTCATAAATGATCTGGAGAAAGGGGTAAAAAGTGAGGTGGCAAAGTTTGCAGATGATACTAAACTGCTCAAGATAGTTAAGACCAAAGCAGACTGTGAAGAACTTCAAAAAGATCTCACAAAACTAAGTGATTGGGCAACAAAATGGCAAATGAAATTTACTGTGGATGAATGTAAAGTAATGCACATTGGAAAAAATAGCCCCAACTATATATACAATATGATGGGGGCTAATTTAGCTACAATGAATCAGGAAAAAGATCTTGGAGTCATCGTGGATAGTTCTCTGAAGACGTCCACGCAATATGCAGCGGCAGTCAAAAAAGCTAACAGGATGTTAGGAATCATTAAAAAGGGGATAGAAAATAAGATGAAAAGTATCTTATTGCCCTTGTATAAATCCATGGTACGCCCCCATCTTGAATACTGCGTACAGATGTGGTCTCCTCATCTCAAAAAAGATATACTGGCATTAGAAAAAGTTCAGAGAGGGGC